AATGGGTGATAGCTAATGGGTTAATATAATGGGTAATGGGTGATAGCTAATGGGTTAATATAATGGGTAATGGGTGATAGCTAATGGGTTAATATAATGGGTAATGGGTGATAGCTAATGGGTTAATATAATGGGTAATAGAACAGAGAGACAGACAGAGATAGATATATAGACAGACAAACAGACAGACACGTAAACATACACCTAGAAGACAGACAGGTAGACAGATATGTAAACAGACATATAGACAGACAGGACAGACAACGTAATGAGACAGATATAGACAGAGAAATAGACAAAGAAATATAATCACACAGGCACAGGACAGACCCAACAGACAGACAGAGATAGACAGGTAATCAGACGGAGAAAGAAACGTAAACAGACTGATGGACAGACAGACAATCAGACGGAGAAAGAAACAGTAGACAGAAAGACAGACAGACCTGAGTCTTCCACAAATAGACAGTCTTGGAGCCAGGTTTCATCAGATTATCATTGAGATCATCCACAGTGACGGTAACGTGGCTGACGGCTGACACCCCTCCAGCGTCAGCCACCACTACTCCCACCTCCAGCTGACGGTTCACTTCCCTGTCTAGCGGCTGACGCGTCCACAGAGCCGCTCCACCTCGTCCACTGTCCATATCTGTTGGATTTTGAAGGATTTTAGTGGATTTTAAAGGATATTGGTGGATTTATGGTGGATTTCAGTCAGTAAATCACCTCTTCAATTTACACCTCACCTGTAAATCACCTGTCTAATTTACACACCTTCAACTCTATAAAACACCTGTCCAATTTACACCAATTCGTCTGTAAATCGTAAATCATTGAGAAGTGTTAAATCCGGGTTCGAATCTCTGGTTAAGTGAGTGGTAATGAGAACGAGTTCCTTAAGACCGGGTTCTGTTGAGGAGGTGAAATATTGGAACGTTTCTGGCTCGAATTTCTTAAAAGAAGTGAGAGTCTTTTGAAGATTTGATTGAGGTGTGGGCAAGTGGTGTGTGTGGGGGTAATTGGTAAGGTGTGTGGGGTGTATGGTGTGTGTGTGTGGGAGTGTGTGGAGTGTGGGGTGAGGAATTTGTGTGTGTGTGTGGGGGTGAAGAGTGTGTGGGGGGGTGGGGGTGGGAGGGAGGTGTGTGGGGGGGTGAGGAGGTGTGTGGGGGGTGGGGGGTGAGGAGTGTGTGTGTGTGGGGTGTGGGGGGTGAGGAGGTGTGTGTGTGGGGGGTGTGGGGGTGGAGGAGTGTGTGTGTAGGAGTGTGTGGGGGGTGTGGGGGTCATTCTGTGGGGGTGTCATTCTCTGTTGTGTGTTGTTTGAATGACTTAACAAAACAAACAAACTCACACCCACACGCATACACACACACACACACACACACACACACACACACACACACACACACCAGTCCAAATATACATACAGCTGTTACGAATCCTGGACATCTGACACGGCCTGCAATACATGGCCCACTAGAGTCTGCAGTATATGTATACGTATCACCGTATGTATATGTGTAGGTGGGTGTATTAATGTTTAGAGAAAGGTCTATTTTTGGGGAGTTGGTGAGAGAGAGAGAGAGAGAGAGAGAGAGAGAGAGAGAGAGAGAGAGAGAGAGAGAAATTACCCAACCACAAGAATGAAAAATCAATCCATTTTACCCTAACTCAAGACAAAATCAACCCAAACAAACAAAAACAACTACAAACAATTATACAAACACCACAAAAACATTAAATACAAATCCTATGAATTAAAAAACAAACATAATTTTACCATAACTCACAAGGATCAAATTTTAACTCGATGTTTTGAAAGACTTGAGATGGGTTTGACTTGGCCAATTCAAACGAGAAAGGTGGTCCATGGTCCAAGGTCCACATATCATGGTCCGTGGCCCTAAGTACCCCTAGGAGGGTAGCTGGGGCCCCTTCTACAACATGTAACAAGGTAGGGGGTAGTAAACTAGGGGCACAGTCGTTAACATCTGTAATGGTGATAGTTAGCGTGGCTGTTGAGGTGAGTGGAGGATGTCCCCGATCTCTGGCTAGGATGAGGACCTCCCCTCCTCCTCCTCCTCCTTCAGGATTCTCGCGGTCTAGCTGACGAAGGAGTCTCACCCCTCCTGCTGCGTCGATGCCTAGGGACCTCCAGCCTCCTTCAAGGTGGTAATCGACTTCTTGTTCTCCTCCCTGGGTGAGAGAGAGAGAGAGGAAGTGAGAGAGAGAGAGAAAGAGGAAGTGAGAGAGAAAGAGAGAGAGAGAGAGAGCGAGAGAATGATATAGTTTGAATCTTGGGTCGAAGCAATAATCTACGCCCTTGTTCTCAGCCCTGATTGAGAGAGAGAGAGAGAGAGAGAGAGAGAGAGAGAGAGAGAGAGAGAGAGAGAGAGAGAGAGAGAGAGAGAGAGACGATATAGCTTGAATCTCTACTTATTTCACAGGTCTAATGGCGTTAAGTGAATGCATCTAGTTAAGGTAGAGCCACAATACAATACCTACCTCATATTTTATACAACATTATACAACCCGGAATTCCTTCCTACATCAGATACAAGAAATCTCAACATACGAGGCAACGTGAATCCCCCCCCCCCCAAAGGCTTTCAATACTAATTTATTTTTTTCCTTCTTCCTACAAATTTATCTTCAGATAACCAACTTCCGGGTGAAAAGATCCATTTCTTTTACAGGAAGCCTTTCAATCGACCTACAACGTGACCAGACGCATGGTAGAAAAAAAATATTCTGAGAAATATTATCGTCTCGTGGTTTGTTTACTAAAAGTTATGACGTCATATCTTCAACCGTGACGTTATATATGCATTACGTCATACATCTAATTTGCCGGTGTGTTATCGTTTTATTTATTTATCTAACATTTAGTCGTTTATTTTGTTTCTCCGTTTTTAATCATTTTAATTTTTATCATGATTTTTTTACGTAAAAGTTAAATAATATATACTTTTTATTATTTATCTTAATGATGTTGGAGTTAATGGTGGTAATTGGCAACTCAACTTCAGGGAAAAAATATGGGAACATTAAAGAAAGAAAAACAAGTCTTTCAATTTACCAGAAACCACTAAATCTTCTACACTAAATTAATACCATTATTTTTCCTCTTTTTTTATCACATTAAAAGATATTAAATAAGCCACAAGAGATAAATGGCTTTTATTTTAATGGTGTCATATAATCTGGTGGTAGCTGGCAACTCACATCTAAAAAAATTTTGGAACATTAAAATAAACAAACTCCTAATCACCAGAAAATACCTAAGTCTCTAACACACTCTCTCACACTACTCTTATATTTATTTTCTTACATTTTCTCACTTTTAGAAACAACTTTAATCCAAGGTTACAAGAAATACAACTTTTAGGTCTGTTCTTTGAGTTACGTTTCAACAGTTTTTAAAAGAACTTGGACACCTTAATCAAGAAACGAGACTCAGTGCTGAAAGGTTCCAACAATGATGTGTTTTGTGTCCAGTCATGGTACAGTCTGAGGGTGATTTTGACGCCATTTGGGATTTTATCTCTTGATCGTGACTTAAAGAAAGTGAAATAATTGTCTTTTCTTTAATTTCATCAGTTACTTACCATAAATAGAGTGAAGGTTGTCTGGTATTCTCTCTCTCTCTTCATTTACGTATATGTTTACCTATTTATTTTCCTTGCTTCCCTCCCTACCCTCTTCATCCATCCCTTCCTACCTTTCTCCTACCCTCCCTCTATCCCCCTTCCTCCATCCCTTCCCTCTCTCTCTCCCTCCTTCCTTCCCTCCCTCTCTTCCTTCTCTCTAGATAACCACATTACCATGGTATTATTGGGAGTTCAAGGCAGGTGTCCCAATGTGAACTGTCTCTCACTACCTGGGAGAGAAAGAGAGAGAGAGAGAGAGAGAGAGAGCCGACTTAAACACACACAAAACAACAGGTTCAGCTTAGTATCATTAGGGCTATGGAAAACACACACACACACACACACACACACATACACACACACACACACACACACAAACACACACACACACACACACACACACAAACACAATAATAATATTGACTCATATAATTTGTCTCAAGCCTTTTACCAGGTGACTTTATTTCACTCTTTTGCTTGTGACCTGTGAGCCTCTCTTTCTCTCTTCCCTTGTTTATCTTCTCTCACTTTGTTTCTCTTCCGTCTATCTGTTTCTCTCTCTGTACTTTTGTCTGTGTCTGTCTCCCCACTTACATTCTCTGTTTGAGTTCTATTCCCCCCCCCACACACACACACACACACACACACACACACACACACACACACAGACACACACACACACACACACACACACACGTCAAGTCACAGCCAACATACGACGCTGTCTTTACACCTCCCTTCTTGACGTACACTTCTCTCCCACCATCTTTTATTGATATTTCCCTCTTATTCTTCTCTTTTATTTCTCCTCCTTTCCTCCTTCTCATCCATCCTTGGCAGCTGCTTTTTATTTTTTTAATTTTATTGTTATTGTTATTTTCATGGTGTGTGGGGGAGGGAAGGGGGAAGGGGAGGGGAAGGGGAGAGGGAGGAAGGGGAGGGGAAGGGGAGAGGAGGAAGGGGAGGGGAAGGGGAGAGGGGAAGGGGAGAGGAGGGAAGGAGAGTAAGGGGTGGTGGAGGAGAGGAAGGGGGTGGAGTGGAGGGAGGAAGGGGGAAAGGAGGGGGGATTTGGAGGATAGTAGGTGAAGGGTGATGGAAGGGTTGGAGAGGTAGGGAAGGAAGGAAAGAGAAGAGGAGACACATTCCTAAAATTCCCACCTCATTCCAAAAATTCCCATCTCATTCCTAAAATTCCCACCTCATTCCAAAAATTCCCACCTCTTTCCAAAAATTCCCATCTCATTCCTAAAATCCCCATCTCATTCCTAAAATTCCCACCTCATTCCTAAAATTCCCATCTCATTCCTAAAATTCCCACCTCATTCCTAAAATTCCCACCTCTTTCCAAAAAATTCCCACATCATTCCTAAAATTCCCACCTCATTCCTAAAATTCCCACCTCATTCCTAAAATTCCCATCTCATTCCTAAAATTCCCACCTCATTCCTAAAATTCCCAGACAGTAAGTGAGGGTAAGTTTGTCTCTTTCTTGTGTTTATAAACAAAAACAATATACGTGTTGTCCTTGCCTTCTATGACGTCATCTCTCTTGTGGGCCAATCACAAAGAACCTATTGTGACGTCATTCTTTTTTTGGCCAATCACACTGAGGCATTTACTTTAAGTGTTGTTATTATTGTTATTTTTGTTGTTATTATTATTGATATTAAATAGTCAATATTATTTTTTTAGGAGACTCGAATGTACCCAGAACTGAGTGAGGCGTCGAGACTATATTAAAGGTAGCTCTCTCTCTCTCTTACTCCCCTCCCGTCTCTCTCTCTCTCTCTCTCTCTTTTTCTCGGCTTAACTTTATCCAACTTTCCCACTTTTCCAATTTCATATAATCTATCATATTTAATATCATAGTTTCTTTCATTTTTCCCCAATTTATTCCCCAATTTCTACCCAATTTTCCCCAACTAACACCAATATTTCCACAATACCCCTAAAATATTTCCCCAACTCACTCAATTTCCTTCCCCAAATACTCCCCAAAATATTCCCCAACTGGACTCACCATATCAGCATCGTGGGCGGGGAGTGAGGCGAGGAGGGTACCGGGGTGGGCGTCCTCACCAACAGTAATATGGGCGTGCGGGCGTGAGAAGACGGGCGGATTATCGTTAAGATCAAGTACCGTAACCTGGATCCATACTGTGTCTGTGTGATGTGGGCGTGACCAGCCTTCTGGGCCCTGGGGGGGGGGAGATAGATAGAGATAGATAGATAGATAGATAGATGGATAGATATATAGATAGTTAGATATAGTCAATTAGCTATACAAAGTGACTCAATATTTATAGAAGCTTATATATAGGTTAGGTGATTCAACATATAGTCACCTGGACACACTAGGTGACTCACAACACTAGATGACTCACAACACAAGATGACTCAACACTAGATGACTCACAACACAAGATGACTCACAACACAAGATGACTCACAACACAAGATGACTCACAAGATGACTCACCATATCAGTCACCTGCACACGGAACCTGAAGCCTTTGCGGTGGTCGGGGTTCTCGTAGTCCAGTGGCTGCACCGCCTTCAGGTGACCCACGGCACCTACTGTAGTCACCTTGAAGACTTGCCACCCCCACCCGCTCTCCTTTACCACCTGGAGGAGAGAGTGCGTGAGAGTGTGTGAGAGAGTGCGTGAGAGTGCGTGGGAGTGTGGGAGACAATGTGTGAGTGTGGGAGACAGCGTGTGAGACAGAGTGTGTGAGAGTGTGTGGGAGAGTGGGCGAGTGTGAGAGTGGGTGTATGTGTGAGTGTGTGGGAGACAGAGTGTGTGTGTGAGTGTGTGTGTGAGTGTCTGTGGGAGAGAGAGAGAGAGAGCACTGCGTAGATGGTTCTTCACCTGGGACAGTACCAGGCCATCACAGTAAAATAGACAGTGCAATTTTCCACTAATCCTGTGTACAGGTGAATATTGTCTGTGTCTGCCTGTCTTTGAGCAGCTTATCTGTTTGTCTTTATACTAATTGTCTGTCTGTTCAGGGATGTCTTTGTCTTCTGTCATTGCGTTTGGTTCGTAGGCTATATCATATAACAATAATAATAACTCACCCTGAACAATCATCATCATCATTATCCTCATCATCATCATCATCCTCATCATCATTATCCTCATCATCACCACCATCATCACCACCATCATCATTATCATCACCATCATCACCATCATCATCACCACCAGAACACGTAACCAATGAGCCAGCACATTTTATCCCCAGTACACTCGAGGTAACAGACGACGTTCATCCTGGGAAATGCATCCAATACGCTGACTACTGCACAGTTTAATTCTCTGATTCTCTAAGGTTCCTAAGTTCAATTTTCCTCCTAACTGGTGATGTGAGAACGTATCTAACAGACAGACAGACAGACACAGACAGACAGACACACAGACAGACAGACACACAGACAGACACACACACAGACAGACAGACAGAGACACAGACAGACAGACAGACAGATAGACAGACAGACAGACAGACACACAGACAGACAGATAGACAGACACACAGACAGACACACAGATAGACACACAGACAGACACACAGACAGACAGACACACAGACAGACAGACACACAGACAGACACACACACAGACAGACAGACAGAGACACAGACACAACTTACCCTATACAAAAATTGATTATCTTTATCCGAGTCAAGTAGAGTTATCTCCAACAGCGTGTCTCCACCACTATCTCCCTCACCATCCTCCTCCACCTCTATCTCCCACAGTCGTCTTGTTAGGTGTGGAGAGTTGTCGTTTACGTCGTTAATTCTCACCACCACTGTACCTGTACCTGGGGGAGGTTGTTATTAGTTGTTGTTATTATTATTGCAGTATCACCATCATCACACTCACACCCCACACTCATACACCACACCACACTCAACCCCACACCCACACCCCACACCACACCTCCCACACCACACCCCAACTCACCTTTCAATCCACCACCATCTGTCGCCACAACCTGAATCGTGTACTGTGGTGTAGTTTCTCGATCTAGGCAACAACGCGCCGTCTTTACCACACCTGTCACCTGTTCTATAGCGAAGATGGGGTCACCTGTCCTCTCGTCAATTACGTTCTTCTCAATGGCGTAGGACAGGTGAGCATTGCGGCTAGTTGAGTCGTCTCTATCCCAGGCTGTTACGATGGCTACTGGTAGGTCTGTTGGGTGGATAGATGGGTAGATGGATAGATAGATGGATGGATAGATGGGTAGATAGATGGATGGGTAGATGGGTAGATAGATGGATGGGTAGCTGGGTGATGGATGATGGATGGAGTGATGGATGGATGGTAGAAGGGTAGATGGATGGGTAGATGGAGAGAGAGAGAGCGAGAGAGAGAGGGAGGGAGAGAGAGAGAGAGAGAGAGAGAGAGAGAGAGAGAGAGAGAGAGAGAGAGCTACCCCATCACATATAAATTAATGTGTACCACTATCCACACCAGACCCGGGACCACCGACCAGACAATAATGGAAGACGAGTAGAGAGAGAGAGAGAGAGAGAGAGAGAGAGAGAGAGAGAGAGAGAGAGAGAGAGACTAAGAGAGGAGAGGGAAAGAAAGAAAGAAAGAGACAGAAAGAGGAGGAAGAGAGAAAGAAACAGTGAAAATAAGTGATAGTGAAAGATATTAATTGAGTGAGAGAGAGAGAGAGAGAGAGAGAGAGAGAGAGAGAGAGAGAGAGAGAGAGGAGAACTGGAGATATAAACAGAGACTTTATTATCGCCAGATCTTATGAAATGACTATGAAATCCCCCCTTTTCTCTGTCTCTCTCTCTCTTACTTTCTGTCTCTCTCTCTCACTATCTCTATTTTTTTCTCTGTCCTTGTCACTGTCTGTTTTCTTTTCTCTTACTTTCTGTCTCTCTCACTATCTCTATCTATCTCTCTGTCACTATCTCTCTCTCTCTCTCACTCATTATCTCTCTCTCTCTCATCAAAACTCCCGTAGCCTCCACCATGATCGTAGTTCATCCTGGATAATACACAAACTTAAATAGAAGTTGTCCATCCTGGGGTTTCATAACTTTAGGCTCACAGCTGATGTGTTTACAGATCAATTCTATTTACGTTTGTCTGTCATTCTGTCTGTCTGTCTCTCTGTCTGTGTCTCTGTCCTTTTATTTATTTCTCCTCTGTCTGTGTCTGTCATTCTGTCTCTAATTGTGAGTCTGTAGTAGTAGTAGTAGTAGTAGTAGTAGTAGTCGTACCTTAAGTGGGTCAACTACAGCCATCATTAATTAACTGTCACCTTAACTACACCTTAATTAGCTCAGGTGTGTAATAGAGTTAATTATATCCAATAAACCATAACTAAGGGTCATTATAGGGCTTATTATAAGGTCCTTGGGTCGCTGGATCGATCCCGGGGGCGCCCATGGTCCATCCAGGTGTAAATGGGTACCTGACGTTACAGTTGAGGAAGTGAAGGTGGTTGAGTACAGTGTCTGCCTCACCTTCCCTCCTTGTGTGTGTGTGTGTGTGTGTGTGTGTGTGTGTGTGTGTGTATAGTTCACTTAAACACATAGATAAACAGACTGAAAGAGAGAGAGAGAGAGAGAGAGGAGAGAGAGAGAGAGAGAGAGAGAGAGAGAGAGAGAGAGAGAGAGAGAGAGAGAGAGAGAGAGAGAGAGAGAGAGAGAGAGAGAGAGCAATACTTCTTTCCATCCATTAAATAAATTACTAACACATTTTTTATCCCCACCATCATATCTCCTTCTCTATCTATCTGCCTGTCTGTCTGTTTGTCTGGTTATTAAACATCAAAGGTCTCTGTAAACACAAACATCAAGGTACTCTCTCAGCTTACCTACTGTCTCAGCTTACCTATGTCTCAGCTTACCTACTATCTCAGCTTACCTACTGCCTCAGCTTACCTATGTCTCAGCTTACCTACTCTCTCAGCTTACCTACTCTCTCAGCTTACCTACTGCCTCAGCTTACCTACTGCCTCAGCTTACCTATGCCTCAGCTTACCTACTCTCTCAGCTTACCTATGTCTCAGCTTACCTACTGTCTCAGCTTACCTTTCTCTCCATTCTCCAACACCTCTCCGTACATGGTGGTGGTGGGGAAGACGGGGGCGTTGTCGTTGATATCCTTCACCACCACCATCACCACCGTCTCCACCACATGAACACGACCACCTGCAAGATGTGGTCGTTCATCTCCTCTGGTCTCTGGAAGTCGTGCTGAATGATCTTTTTCGTCAGGGTCTGGAAATATTTGGTCTTCTTTACTGGAACCTGGAAATCGTTCTGGCTGGTCTAGGTTGGTTACTGGAAGGGGTCGTCCGTCTGTCTCTTTGAAGTCTGGAATGCGACGACCCCTTATACTAGATCCTGGAAGGTATGTCGTACTTTCGCTGGATTCTGGAAGCTTATGTCGTCCTTCACTGAGTTCTGGAAGCCTAGGTCGTCCTCCACTGAGCTCTGGAAGCATAGGTCGTCCTCCACTGAGCTCTGGAAGCCTAGGTCGTCTTCCACTGAGTTCTGGAAGCCGTTCACCTTCACCAGCGGAATAGTGAAAATCATCTTCAAAGAAAAAAAACATATCGTTACACTCCTCGTTCCTGGCACTTATGGCACTCTCAGGGTCATTCAGGTCTCCAGAAGGGTCGTTTGAGGTCCCTAGGTGCCAGGAGGTCGTAGAGACCTTGGCACTGTGGCTCTGGAAATCATCATTCGAGGCTTTAACATCTGTATAAGCGTTGGCACTCCTGATATCATGGCCCTTGATTAAGTGCCTCGAGGAAATAGTATCCCCGGACGCCTTGGCACTCTTGGTATCCTGTACTTGAAGGACTTGGTCTGAGTCCTGCATACCCTCAATGGCACTCCTCGTAGTAGGATACCCAGTGCCCGATACTAAAGATAAAGTACTGGATCTCTTCAGGCGAGATATACCTTTTGGCATCTGTTGTGGCACTGTTGGCATCTGTTGTGGCACAGTTGGCATCTGTTGTGGTACACATTTTCTTACCTGTTGTGGCATTGTTATCTGTTGTGGTACTGTTTTCTACCTGTTGTGGCACTGCAAATTGTTGTGGTACATTTCTTACCTGTTGTGGTACTGTTATCAATTTGTTGTGGAAATAGTTTTCACCTGTTGTGGCACTGTTGGCATCTGTTGTGGTACATTTTTACCTGTTGTGGTACTGTTATCACCTGTTGTGGTACCATGGCATCTGTTGTGGCACTGTTGGCATCTGTTGTGGCACAGTTGGCATCTGTTGTGGTACTGTTATCACCTGTTGTGGTACTGTTATCACCTGTTGTGGTACTGTTATCACCTGTTGTGGCACTGTTTTCACCTGTAGTCGAATTGGTAGTTTTTTTGGCACTAGTCTAGTGTGAGTGACTAACTGAGTGAACAGTTTAGTGCCAGTTAACTGTCTCTCTATCTCTCTCTTCTCTCCTTTATCATCTGTGTCTGTCTCTCCATTTTTATCGGTTATTTTCTGGTTCCTATATTTATTTTCATCTGCTTGGTGACTCATTGGCGAATGATGACTCAATAGTCTTTCGGCTTGGTGACTCTTTTCCTGTACTTGGTGACTCAATATTCTTAGGTCTTGGTGACTCTTTTTTTGTACTTGGTGACTCAGAGGTTGTTGGTGAAGGTGACTCATTCCTCCCGTTTGGTGACTCACAGACATGTGATCTTGGTGCTTCTGGTCTTGTATCTGGTGACTCAACGACTCTTTATCTTGGTGACTCATCATTCCCTGATCGTTCATGATATATTGGTGACTCAATGACTCAAAACCGAGATCAAATTGACTAACTTGGTGATTAAAAGCTTCCGGGTCACTCCTAGGGTCATCTTGGTGACCTGAGATGACCTGACCATCCCTGACTTGAACTTTGACCTTCCACACGCTCAGTCCATCGGGTGGGTCACGGTCCAAAGGCTGGAAGGGTGAATAATGTTAGTCTGAGGTGTTTGAGGTGTAGGGGGTGGGGGGGGAGGGGGGAGGGGGGGGGTGGGGAGGCAGGGGGGCAGGGGGTAGGGAGGTACGGAGGAGGTAGGGGTGGGGGGAGGAGGGGAAGTGGGGGTGGGGGGAGTGTAGGGGGGAGGGGAGTGGGGAGGCAGGGGTGGGAGCGTAGGGAGGGAGTGTAGGGGGTGGGGGGGAGTGTAGGGGGGAGTGGGGTGGGGGAGTGTAGGGGGGGGTGTAGGGGGGGAATGTAGAAGGGTGTGTCGGTGTGTGAGGTGTGAAGTGGATGTGTGTGTGTGGGAGTGGGGAGTGTATGAGGGTGTGTGTAGGTGTATGTCTGTGTGTGGGGGAGGGTTGTGTATTGTAGGTCCCATACAGTACAGTGTAGATACAATACACTATCCTTGCACCCTCCCTATACCCAACTACACCCCACCACACCCAACCAACACCATCCCACACCCACCTACACCCTCTTACACCCACAATAACTCACCCTCAGCTGGTATAGTTGTCCGGTCCGTGGGTGTATCCTGAAGAAAGTGTCGTCAGGGTGTAAATTATCCACACCGTCACCACCCACACTGTACACAAGGCGACCCTCATCCACTTTATCCTCATCCACCGCTTCTACCTGTAGGGAAACATCTACCTTAATGCCCGCTTTTAAGTAGGGAGTATTCACTTAATACCCGCTTTGAAGTAGGGAATATCCACTTAATACCCGCTTTGAAGTAGGGAATATCCACTTAATACCCACTTTTAAGTAGGGAATATCCACTTAATACCCGCTTTGAAGTAGGGAATATCCACTTAATACCCGCTTTTAAGTAGGGAATATCCACTTAATATCCGCTTTTAAGTAGGGAATATCCACTTAACACCAATTGGGCTCTAGATACATATACTTTCAACTACTTTCAACTACTTATATCTACTTTCATCTACTTTATCTACTTTAACTACTTTATCTACTTTTAACTACTTTATCTACTTTTAACTACTTTATCTACTTTTAACTACTTTATCTACTTTAACTACTGACCTTGATGATGGGGGCAGGAAGGTCACGATCGTCCTCCTCTATGACCGTGACCTTAGGGGCGGGGTCAAGGAAGAAAGGGGCGTGGTCATTGGTGTCGAGAACATTGACCAAGACCAAAGTTCGGGCGCTGACATCTGCTGACTCTGCTGACACTACTAGCTGATGCTGTGTGAGTGAGAGAGAGAGTGAGAGAGAGAGAGAGAGAGAGAGAGAGAGCGAGAGCGAGAGAGAGAGAGAGAGAGAGAGGAGAGAGAGAGAGAGTTATGATGAAGCTGAACTCCTCCCTCCTCTCTCACACACACACACACACACACACACACACTCACACACAATAATACTACACACACACACCCCACACACACACACAATAATATCACATACTCCACAATCTACCACTCTTAAACATTAACTTGGAATCCATACACACTACGTCCCCATAAGAGGATAGAGTCATTGGCAAAAGGTGACGCCATTAATAGTCGTTCACAAATACAGGTGGAGGAAACAAGGTGGTTCAGTAATTAGCGCCACTATTCTTTACTAAGGTGCTCAGGTGAGGCTTCACTAGAGAGAGGGAGAGAAGGAGGGAGGGAGGAGGAGGTGGAAGGACGGGAGGAGGGAGGGGAGGGGAGATAGGGAGGGGGGAGGGTGAGAGAAGGAGAGAGGAGAGGAAGGGTGAAGAATAAGAGGAGAAGAGGGAGAGACAGAGATAGAGAAGGTGAGATAGATAGATAGATAGATAGATAGATAGATAGATAGATAGATAGATAGACACAGACAGACAGACAAGAACCATCTCCACTACAAATATCAACATGGCAAAAAAAAAAACCCCACCACACTATGGCAAAAACTATAACACCTACAATGGCAACGGCTCCCCATCATGGCAAGACAGAAGCACTATAGCAACAGGTGTGCCAAGAGCCAACCCTCACGGTGCCATATTTAAGAGGCTATGAAGGGCCCAGGTCAGGTGTCAGGCTAGAGGCACTCTTTACTGTGTCAACATGAAATAGTTTACTTGTTGACACAGTGCTTGTAGGGCCAGGTCGTTGTGTGTGTGTGTGTGTGTGTGTGTGTACCTGTTTGTGTGTATGTGTATGTACGTGTCTGTGTGTGTAGTACCTGTATGTGTGTTTGCATGTTTGTTTGTCTGTTTACACAAATCAGCTGTTATTCTCACCAGATTATGATGAGTCATCTTTGTTTACTATAATCACCTGTCTACCTTACCTGTACATTAACTATTTATCTATATACCTACATATCTGACCATCCACCCACAGACAGACAGACAGATAGACAGGGCAGAAAGCAATATCCTGTCCCACATTTATAAGCAGGGTAATAATAATAATAATAATAATAATAATAATAATAATAATAATAACATATGGATCTTAGTCATACATACAGTACATTCATACTACTACACATTATACACATACATACATACATACAATCATACATCTATACATAATACATCTATACATTTAGCACACACACCTGACTATTTTCTCTTCACTTCTCTCTTAAAAGTAAAAGTTTGGGGAGAAAGTTTGAGAGATAATAATTTTGGTATATATTAATGTGATGGTATTTTGGTGAAAGTTGGTTCATACTTTCTCTCTCTCATTCTCTGTCTGTCTGTCTTTCTTTCTTTCTTTTTCTATCTGTCTTTGTCTCTCACTTACTCTCTCTCTATGACTTTCCATTCTCTCTCTCTCTCTCTCTCTTTTTTTTAATTTGTCTCTCTCTCTCTCTCTCTCTTTTTTTTAATTTGTCTGTCTCTCTCTCTCTCTCCACACACCATCACACACTCTTCCCATATCCACACACCATCACACACTCTTCCCATATCCACACACCATCACACACTCTTCCCATATCCACACACCCACTGGGCCACACTTCCCTTCCCCATATCCACACACCATCACACACCCCTTCCCATATCCACACACCATCACACACTCCTTCCTCGAAGCATCCACACACCATCACACACACCTTCCCATATCCACACACCATCACACACTCTTCCCATATCCACACACCATCACACACTCTTCCCATATCCACACACCATCACACACTCTTCCCATATCCACACACCATCACACACTCTTCCCCTATCCACACACCCTTACACACTCTTCCCATATCCACACACCCTTACCCACATTTCCATTACCTTATCTTGTAGTTCGTAATCCAGTGATCCAGCGAGTGTGATGACCCCAGAACGATGGTGTATAGTGAAGATACCATCCCTATTGCCTTCTGTGATGGTGTATCGCACTGTAACCTCTGTGGGAGAAGAGGACATGGGTTTGGACATACATTGGACATGGCTTTGGATACGTATTGTAGGGTTGAAACACGGTGGGGACATTTGTGTGATGGTGAGAGAAAGGGGACATAGATTGGACATAGGGACTGGACATGGGGGTTAAAGATTAATTGGGACATAGTTTGATTTGCTGTCTATCTGTCTATAACCACAAGAGATAGACAGATAGACAGAGAGACAGGAGAGAGAGAGAGAGAGAGAGAGAGAGAGAGAGAGAGAGAGAGAGAGAGAGAGAGAGAGAGAGAATGCCGGCTCTCCTGTCACGGCCTACGGGCAAACACAGGCCAAGTGGGAACTCTTTTTTTCTGAGGGGCGGGATCAAGTGGCACTCCGGGGAATATACAATGCCACCCCCCACTCTCTCTCTCTTTCCTCTCTTTCTACACACACACACACACATATATCACACACACACACACACAGAAGAGAATGAATGGCTTTACTCAACACAAGTTATGTGCCTTTGACTTATTCCTCGCCTCACTCTAACACACTCTAGTAATGGGGTGTATTGCTTTCGTCTGTATGTGTCTAAGTGTGTGTCTGTGTTTATGTGTGTGTGTGTGTGTGTGTGTGTGTGTGTGTGTAAGTGTGTGTCTCAATCTGTTTAAATGTGTGTCTGTCTGTATGTAAGTATGTATGTGTGTGTGTGTGTGAATCTGTCTGTCTGTATGTGTCTGTTTATGTATGTTTATCTGTGTACGTCTTTGAGTATGCGTCTGTCTGTGTAAGTGTGTTTCTGTGTGTCCGTCAGGCTGTCTGTATGTCTGTTTATTAGTCTGTGTGTGTGTGTGTGTGTGTTTATGTCTGTATGTGTGTCTGTAAGTCAGCATTATGAGCCTGACTTATGGCTTGTCAGGGTAAGATTAATATTTTAACTTTTAAGGCGATTTAACCCAATCTCTCTCTCTCTCTCTCTCTCTCTCTCTCTCTCTCTCTCTCTCTCTCTCTCTCTCTCTCTCTCTCTCTCTCTCTCTCTCTCTCTCTCTCTGTCTCTCTCTCTCTCTCTCTCTCTCTCAATAAACAAGTACACATAATGTCTCAGCATCAGTAAATCTTTTGGGCAGAACCATTGGAACGAATTGCGTAGTTAACATCGTAACAAGGTCGTTCCCGGGACTATAAATGACAATTGCAATGGCAGCTGTTGATGTATTACCGTAGCAATTGCACGCCAGGTATAAATGCAATTGAAATGTTGCCTACACGAAAGTTCTGGTTACCTGGTGAGTGTTAAAGTGATTAAGGCAATAGGGTGGATTTTTTTGTTTATTTACATGTCCTTGTAACTGTCCTTGTAACTGTCCTTTTAACTGTCCTTGTAACTGTCCTTGTAACTGTCCTTGTAACCGTCCTTGTAACTGTCCTTGTAACTGTCCTTGTAACTGCGTCTATACCTGTAGCTGTCACTGTATCCCTAACTACCCCATCATTATAAACTCACACTAATGACCTGAATTAACTACCACTTAACAGCTCGATACAGTCTGTTAATTACTGTATCATTAAAAAATTACAGTAAGTTTTGTAATATGTTAATGACTTAATCCAGTGAGAATACAGGTGAAACAGGTGATTGTGTCTTATGTTAGTGGTTAGTTAAGGTGATAGATGGATGGATAGATGGATAGATGGATAGATAGATAGATAGATAGATAGATGGATAGATAGATAGACCTCTGAAATATCTATATATACAGTATATCTATCTATCTATCTATCCGTATTTCTGGCTGTCTATTTATCTCTCTCTCTCTCTCTCTCTCTCTCTCTTTCTCCCCCTCTCTCTCTCTCTCTCTCTCTCTCTCTTTCTCCCCCTCTCCTATCTCCCCCTATTCACAGACTCCCATTGTAAGCTTATTACACATAAATATTAGACTGAAAATATATGGTGATTCTCTGCCCTCTCTGTCTCTCTCTCTGTCTGTCTGTCTGTCTGTCTGTCTGTTGTCTGTCTGTCTGTCTCTCTTCTCTGTCTCTCTCTTCTCTCTTTTCTTTTGTCTGTCATTTTCTTGTCTGTCGGTCTGTCTGTTTCTCTGTCACCTTCCCCCACATGCCACCTCCCCCACACAGTGCCACTCTCCCCCACAATGCCACCCTCCCTCCCCAGTGCCACCTCCCACAGTGCCACCCTCCCCCCAGTGCCCTCCCCCACACAGTTCCACTCTCCCCCCACAGTGCCATCCTCCCTCCCCCAGTGCCACCCTCCCCCACACTCCACTCTTAAAGCCTTGTATCGTAAGTATCATTATTGCAATTTATTTCTGCAATCCTTAACTTCATTCGTTTGCAATTATCAACATTTTACGACGGCGATAAATAAAATAAATTATAACACAACAAAACATTGACTTTAATTCCTGCAATGATGTAGATTATAGTAGAAATATAATTGTTGAGTTTATAACCTCTTGCAATACATAAATGCATTTCTTTGCAACATTTAACGCTGTTGGTTATCTAGTTAATCCTGAATTGCAATATATCTTAGCACGCAACATTAGAGTCTTTGTATTCTTATCAATTTCATGTTGTGTGAGAAAATTTTTTATGTAACCATTAAACGTATTTGTGTTGCAATTATAGAAATCCGATGTTGCAAATGGACAAAATTTTCGACAGATTCATACAATTCTCCTCTGCAAGAATGATTGAATTTCTTGCAAATCAATTCAGCTCTGCCAAGACTATACGATATATCTGAACTTTTATTTCCCTAAAGATTAAATGCAACTCGTGCAACAAATAACGTTGCATATCAATTAACTGGTCAATATAACTCCCTCTTGCAATCATATATACATTATTTGCAATATTATCATTCACACCAGGTTGAAAAGTCTGACAGTTTCAATTATTTCACCAATTATTAAATCAATCTTTTTGCAACAATTAAGCGTTGCATGACAATCACTTAATCATTATATACGTGACCTTCATTGCAAGCTCTGGTGCAATTTCCTCTTGCAAACACTGTATATATTTCTTACTGGCTAGATTCAACGCTCGCCTCCTGTAATAAGAAATGCTGGTTCTATCCCGGGGGCGACCATGGTCCACCCAGATGTAAATGGGTACCTGACGTTACAGTTGAGGAAGTGAAGGTGGTTGAGTACAGTGTCTGCCTCTCCTTCCCTCCTTGAGTGTGTGTGTGTGCGTATGTGTGAGTGTGTGTGTGTGTATAATCCAATATTGCAATAATTCAAAACACTATCTGCAACATTAAACGCTGGCAACCAATTAATTAACCACTAAACACACACATTCTTTGCAATACATAAAACATTCTTGCAACATTGATAATGAACGTCACAAGTCTACAGCCACATAATTGCAATTTCACTTGTGCAATAATTAAACACATTCCTTTGAAATAACAACTATCGCATGTTGCATATAAATAAATTTTAAAATTGCAACGTGAGAAAATACGGTGGTTGTAATTATATTTATGCAATCACTAAACATATATCTTGCAAACATTTCAACATTAATATTGCAAACCCTTCTTTATCAATAAGTATCTTACAATTATCACTGAATGTCAACGTACTTGCAATGTAATGTTGCAAATGAGGGTGTTGCAACATCGCCAAGAACACTGGTGAAGGAGTTTGGTAAAGGGATGATATTTTATGCAATAACGAGATGCATTAATGGGTAACCTTATACCTGTGTGTCAGGTAGATAATGAAGACACACACACAGGCAGACATATACAGACACACACACACACACAGGCATACACATAGAGACAGACAGATAAACACACACATACATAAACACAGGCAAACATACACATACATACAGAAACAGACACATACACACACACACACACACACACACACACACACACACACACACACACACCCACACAAACATTTTAGGTGATATTTTTCTCTACAAATTCAGGGAATTTTTTAAATCATTAGGTAAAATTAAAAATCCCTAACCTTAAAAAAAAATAATTATTGAACGTCATTAACCCAAGTAGTTAAGATACGTGGGTGTCGCGGGTTCGATTCCCGGCCCTGACAGATGTTGGGTCAATAGGTTGTCGGGGTGTCGGTGGCCGGTGGAGTATTGACAGGTGGACTTGACAGGTGACAAGAGGTTAATTGACGGAATGGAAGTGACAGGTGACAGGTGAGTGCTAAAAGGTGGTCTGGAATAGATAGATAGATAGATAGATAGAGCGAGAGAGAGAGAGAGAGAGAGAATGAATAAGAGGATAGATAAAATAGGTAGATAGATAGACAGATAGATAGGTTGATAGATAGAAGGCAAGATAAGTAGAGAAACAGACGAACACATGCATACACACACACACACACACACACACACACACACACACACACACACACACAACACCACACACACACAGATTAGCAGAGCCGATCACGGACCAAGATAATACAGTAATCTGATTGCCGTGCCAGAGAGCCCATATGGGACCCGCTGAGTGGTGGCTTGTCTGTCTGTCTGTGTGGAGGCGTGTATGTGTCTGTGTGAGGCGGTGTATGTGTCTGTGTGAGTGGTGTATGTGTCTGTGTGTGTGTGTGTGTATGTGTCTGTGTGAGGCGGTGTATGTGTCTGTGTGGAGGCGGTGTGTATGTGTCTGTGTGGAGGCGGTGTATGTGTCTGTGTGAGGCGGTGTATGTGTCTGTGTGGAGGCGGTGTATGTGTCTGTCTGTGTGAGGCGGTGTATGTGTCTGTGTGAGGCGGTGTATGTTCTGGTGAGGCGTGTATGTGTCTGTGTGAGGCGGTGTGTGTGTCTGTGTGAGGCGGTGTATGTGTCTGTGTGGAGGCGGTGTGTATGTGTCTGTCTGTGAGGCGGTGTATATGTGTCTGTGTGGAGGCGGTGTATGTGTCTGTGTGGAGGCGGTGTATGTGTCTGTGTGGAGGCGGTGTATGTGTCTGTGTGAGGCGGTGTATGTGTCTGTCTGTGTGGAGGCGGTGTATGTGTCTGTGTGAGG